GCACGCGTGAGAAGGAGCAAACGTGCCAGTACACTCGAGACATCGTGCTTCACGGCAGACCGCGTGGCAGCTCTTAGAGATTTATTTATACGACCTCGTGCGTACTCGCATAACTACGCACACGATCATGGATAAAAGTATTCTACGTATATATCGTTATAGTATACACCTATCTACTTAGAAAACCTCGTCGCCGTTACGTTCTATGTGCTTCGAACTAACCGATCCGAAGCAAAGCACACGCGCACGCACGCAAACACGCAAACACGCAAGCAAACCACCACTGTAGGAAACACGAAACGAGAAGCTACCTACCATCCTTTTCTAACGGCCAACGTCCCGTGAAACGCTTCTTTAAGCTTCTAACCAACCAATGGGAATACGTTAAAGCCCGCGCTTCTCCTCTTGCCAACTCTCGGATTTCAATGAGCAAAAAAGCTCGATCACCGGAGGACAGACGCATGCGCAAACGAATATCGAAAGGAAAATGAGACAGAGTAAGGTGGTATATATAAACGATCGATAGTTTCTCGATGATATATAAAAAAAAAAAAAAACCTCGTTTGTAAAACAAATCACACATAGTTACTATGTATTACCATATTATATAACTTTTGTTTCGTCTATCCTCTCCTACGTGTAGATTCGAAATATTAAACTTCCCGTCCATCGGTTCTATTATCGCGAAACGCGAACTCTAAACAAATGATAAAAGAGACCTATCAAGATAACGACAATTATTTCTTCGAAACTGTATCGTACACCATAACTTCTCTCTCCCCCTCCCCCGCGTCCACCCCGAAAGGTTCGATACGAATCGTATATATATATAGGTACGTGTGTGTCCCCACGTACTTTATATACCTATAGAAAAAAATTCATTTATCGCTTTAGGCTTTTTAAAACAAACGGGTGAATGTTATTGCAATCGTTCAAACGTTTAGTTCTGTTGCATCTCACGATCGAGAATTATATATTTCTCTCTCATTTCATTCGGGTTCGTATATAAAATAAAGAATTATAAATATATATATAGAAAATATATATTTCAAATAATATAAATACTTTCGTATGAAAAAAAAAAAAAAGATTTCGTTATTAAATTCTGTATTCTTAATTTGTTGGGAACCGTACACCCATTCGAAAAATCAATCGATCAGAAATAATAAACAAGTGGTACGGGGTAACGAGAGCTAGCAAGTTTAAAGTTTATCCGTGTATATGTGTGTGTAGATATATACCGAAACGTTTGGGAGTGTTTGAAACAGGCAAAGCGTGTCGTCGTCGTTGTCATCGTCATCGTCATCGGTCGTACGATGTTTAACGGGTCGAACGGTCTTACGCTTGGTGACACGCGTGCACGCATTTCACGGATTGAGCTTCTTTCCTAACAGGGTGTATGAGCTAAACGTTACAGATTCGCTCGTTGCTTTTCTCCTTTCGTCGGTTCGTCGAATCCGAACTGGGCCGTGTGAATGAACGAAGCTCATTCATCGATCTATAGAGGTGTATACTCGGTTCTAATTTTCATTTAACTTTTTTCAACACACTGCACCGAGATTGAAATAATATTATCTAACTATTATAATATATTATGTATAACGATTAACTCATTTGATTAATATAAGGAAAAAAATGAATAAGAATATTTTTCAATTTAATCAATTATTTCTTTTTGAAAAATGTATACTTATATTTGTTTCATATAAATACGAAGTTATGTTGAATATATGTATAAATCGTAATCACAATTAAATGATATTCAACAGACAAATTATAAAAAGTAACAAATTCTATATATGTATTTTACGTTGACTATATAAACGTTTAATTCTTTGTAAATTAATTGCTATATTTAGATACACATAGATATAATATAAAATATAATTCATTAACAATTTTTTAAAAAATCTAACAATAAAAAAAGAACATTCGAGAAGCCTATATTAGAACAAATTAATAAATATTCGAAAAATTTTCAAATATACTTTTCAATGCACCAAAATTCATATGTAAAATATTTAAATATTTTTGAATATAGAATAAAATGTTATCTATAAAGAAAGATGTAGAAAATGTGAATGTAATATGACTATATGCACAAAATTCGAAACCATTGAATAGAGAAAGAGAGAGAGGCCTATATCGCGACAAAGTTTCATTCACGCAGAGCCGCGCAACAACCGAAGAATAATCGCCGGTGGATTCGGAACGAGAAGGGTTGGGTTGCTATTCGCGGTACCAAAAGGATGCCATCGTCGTTCCTGCGAGAGAATCCGATGTTCCGTGGCAAGAAAAAGAGCCGGCGAAGAGAGAAAACGATCTATCATGCGGATTCCAGGAGCACCACCACTCTGTTTCTTTCTATTTCTTTTTATCTTTTTNTTTTTTTTTTTTTTTTTTTTTTTTTTTTTTTTTTTTTTTTTCTTACTGTCTTCTCGTGTTGTTCTTACGTGTCTCTCTTCTCGTTGCCCCCCTCCCCCCTCCCCCACTCCCCTTTTGCATCTTAAAGGGTAAAGGATCGACGAAGGTAGGAAGAAAAGGGTAAAATAAAAATGTCAAAAATAAAAGCAAAAAAAAAAAAAATAAAATAAATAAAATCCAATGAAAGAAACTAGAGAGGAAGAATCGATCGAAGAGAACAAGTAGCCTGCAGAGTTGATATATAAAACTTTTGTAAAGGAAACGAACACGACGAACATAATATAATACTGATCAAAAGTTTTTGGGGTTATGGATATTACTACATCTACTCGTAATATAGTATAAAATATCATTCATTTATTGAAACTTATGTTTTTCAAATAATTGATTTTGTTTCTGTTTTTTTTTTTGTTTTTTATATATAGAAACACCTATTTTTACATACGTAGAAAATTCAACGGAAGATTTAAATATCTTCCTCGTTGTAATTATAAACTGTTTTTTTTTTTTTTATGTATAACTATATTACATTATTTTATTGTAACTGTTCCATTTGAAAATTGTTCCAACTAATTTTGTAGAAACGTCTACGAGTATCAATTTGAAAGATCTGACGTAAAGTCAGATATAAAACAGATAGCAAAAATAAAGTAATATTAACAAAATGAAATAATTATAAATAGTATGGTATTCATATTATCGGTCAATAGTAAATATACATTTTTATGACTACAAACTGACCTATTATAATCCATAAAGCAAATAAACTTTGAAAAAGGAAATATCTAATACAATAAATATATGTATTTATAAAGTTTCAAAAAATATCACGAAGAATAAAGAACATTTCGTATTATTCGAGAGTGATGTTAGGGAGAAAAATTTCTAAAAAAAAAAACGACAACGAGGATGACGACGAGGACAAGGACAAGGACGAGGACGAGGACGACGAGGCAAGCCCTCGAGCCGCGCGACAAGAAGTGTCCAATTTAAAATGTAAATTGCGTCGGATATTTGGCGTATCGCTAAGCGTACCAACGAAATGGCCACGAAATTAAAACGTAATTTAATTCGAATCTCTCTCTCTCTCCCTTTTGCTCTCTTTTACTCAGTCACTCACTCACTCACTCGTTCGTTAGTTCGTTCGTTCGTTCGTTCGTTCGTTCGTTTGAGCTTTTTCACCCTACTCTGTAACCCGGTTTTCCTTCTTCGTCTTCTTTTCCTAATTCTCGCTAGGGATCACTACCAGGATCTCTTGCACTTTTTTCCCTCTCTCTATCTCTCTCTATCTCTCTTTTTCTCTCTGACTGCTTTTCTATCTCGAGAAAAACATTTTCTTTCTTTTTTCTAAGTGGATTTTAAAACGTGGATTATCGTTTTCACGGTGACGACGAGTACGAGGACGAGGACGACGACGTGAGCTTTCGCTTCTTCCTGCTTTAGAAAGAGAGATAAAGATAAAGAGAGAGAGTGAGAGAGTGACGGAGGGAAAAAGGGGGGACACGAGATTCTTTTGGTTTTCGTGCCGAGCCGGGGAAACGAGATTTCGAGAGTGGAAAGTTATTTAAAGATAACCGCTTTTAATCTTCGCGTTCGCAGGATATCAAGGGCAATTTTATCCGGCGTTATAATTAGATGCATTACTTGGTATAATAAGGGCTTTGAACCACCACGGGGCCTCGCCAGTGCCGTAGGACGTTTTAGAACGTTCGAGATGAAATTGCTGATGCGTGGGGAATCGCGTTATCGGATGTTAAATATCGTCTTGGCGGCGGTTGCATCTCGTGAACGCTACTTCTCTTCTCTTCTCTCCTCCGAAATCTCGTTTTATTATATTTCGAAAGAATTAACTTAGTACGCGTAGTATGCTATCTTCGAGACCGAAAATTTCTTTTAAACATTTTTCCCCCTTTTATCTTTCTTTCTTTCTTTTTTTTTTTTTTCAAGAAGACCCAAAATCCTTATCGGGGTAGATTGTACCAAAGTGGTTACGACCAACCGAGTGGAAGATGGTGTTTTGTTTTGTTTTATAAGAGAGAAAAAAAAATGAAAAAAGATAATACCCACGACCAGGTGAATTCACTCAGTTTTAATACAGTGTGTATATATATATATATATATATATATATATATATATATATATATACGGATTTGAATAAAATTTATCGATTATCGTTAACGTCGGTTTTTCCGCGCATATCGCGTGGCCATTTTCCGATGGTTCGTAATTAACCGATTCGACGGGCTCGTATTGTATTGTTACGATTTAATGGCCAACGAATAGCTCAGTTTATTTCTTTCTTTAATATATCCCCTTTTTTTTTATTTTTATTTTTACTTTTATATTTGTATTTTATTTTATTTTATTCCCGCTACGCTTTTTTTCTGGTTAGCTGGGGGAATGAAAATTCTAAACATTTTGTTCGATAGTATCGAATCCAATCGATCTATACTTCTTCTTCTTCTTATTTTTATCAAAGAGGAAAGAATATCGTGTATAGGTAGAAAGAGGGCTCCTTTTTCTTTCCCCCTTGAACCCCCCGCGAATCAACTCATTCCCTTTGGTATATTCGCAGGAGGAACAACACCAGTAACAGCAGCAGTAGTAGCAGTAGTACGGTAAGCACTCACTCTACATCACCATAGCGACCGCTTAATTGGAGAAGGATTCCCATAATAAAATCGTCGAGTGTCCCCGTTCAGCGATGCGGAAGAAATTCGGGACCATCCAAGTTTTTCGCGGTAGGGCGAAAAACGCGAAGAATTTCAATCGCCGAGAAACGAATCCCTCAACCGTTTCCTTTACCTGACACGAACTTCGGTTATAGTCGTCAAAATAACAGAAATAGAAGAAGAAGAAGAAGAAGGAGAAAAAAATCGACAGCGTAACACGGTACGTTCAAACCGGAATGAAACTATTTTTTGTTGTTGTTGTTTTTTTTGTTTTCACGACAGAGTTTTATTCCGTTTCATTAATTCACGTTATCGCGAGAAACTAAATGGCATATGAAAAATATAACCATTCGCAGAAAAAAACTAAAGAGAGTCAATGCAACAAATGTTGAACGTCGTAATTTATCAATTTTTTCTATATACATATATATATATATATATACAAATAAAAATATTACAAATAGGAGGTAGGTATTGCCAACACATACCAGGTGTGCATCCTACGAAAACCGTGTACCGTGTTTAAAACAATCGCAACGTTTCGAAATATACAATTGTTATTCGTCGCTGTTAGTCGTCGTTAAAGACCTCGAAAAATCATTTTCAATATACGAACGTAGAAGTTTCTCTTTTAGAAACTTATTAGGTGTATATATTTCGTGTAAGTATTTCAAGAGAAAAAGACGTAAAGGTATCGCGGAAATGACGCGAGTAGGAATTAACGAAACGTGTCATCCACCTGCCCCCTCATTTCATCTCCCTGCCCCCTCCCTCCTCTTTCTCTCTCCCTTTTTTCGTCATTAAATAAAAAGGGTAGAAATAGAAGATAGGAAGAAGAGAAAAAAAAACAAAAAGGGGGTAGGTGAGGTTCGGAATACGTACTACGTATAGTTAAGTAATACGTATTAGTGTACATATATATATATATATACACATATGTAGATACGTACGCACGCGTCCAACGCGTTTTACTCGCATAAACGTGCCCCCCTCGAGAATATAACTCATTGCGGTAAACGGCCGCCACAGCAGGCCGCGTCAAATTAACGCCCGAGACTCGAGAAACGAGAGAGACGACTTTGCTTGCTGTGGTGCGACGTACCAACACCAACACCAATACTAACCCACCAACCAACCAACCCAAGAAGACGTCGTTCGAACTTCCTCCATTCTTCTTATTCTCATTTTCCTTTCTCTCCATCTTCTAAAACTATTCGGTATAGATAGGTATAGATAGTTGACCGTTTTAAACATTCATGGAAAACTTTTCAGATCGTAATTTTGGCAAAGATTTATTTTCTTTTTTTTTTTCCTTGTTTTTTTTTGGTACCTATTTTTTCTTTAACAATAGAAATTACGTCTACGTGCACGTATCTATTTCGTCGTATCGATCGAATTTTTTGTTTTAATTGGTTTATCGATTTTTTTCTTCTTCTTTTTTTTTTTCTCTCTTTCGAAATGAAACGATAAATTCTTCAAATAACAAGTATACCGTGGTACTCTAGGTTGTACTTGGGCAGAGTGAAATTATACGATTCGCGTGGTCACGTATCAATTAACGTAAACGAATAGCACCCGACCATTTCTTTCGTGGTTTTTTTTTCAATTCGAATTGGAGAACGAGTCAATCGTCGATACGAGAAAAAAAGGAGAGAGAGAGAGAGAGAAAGAGAGAGAGAGAGAGAGAGAGAGAGAGAGAAGAAGAAAAAGAAAGAGTAAGAAAGTTCTTTACTTTTTTTTTTTTACCGAGTCGAGTTTCGGCGCTCGAGATATCATGTTCCGATGCAATATCTTTCCTCTCCCCGTGTGGAGAAATTAATTAACTTACCTGTACCGCCTAATTAACAACGTTTATCGACCCACTCGTTTGGGAATAATTTCGTTTTCGTCCAACGTTCAACGTTCGTTCGATCGTTTTCTTTCCATCGATGTTTTCGACCAAAGTTGCACGCCGTTCGCAAACACGTTGAAAATCTTTATTCGCGATAACGCGAGTTGAGAAGGTGCGAATTACAAAGTGAAAAAAAAGAAAAGAAAAAATGTGCTCTCGACGGGTTGACCCCCGAAGACCCTGAACAGGCTGCATCATGCGTTCGTCCTCTGTCACGTCACGCAAACGGCAAATAACTTTTCTATCTTAGCTTTCACCATTTTACGTATATTATCACCTTTAAATTATACATTTTGGAAGCATTAGTTATTCAATTCTTTCAATTTCTTTTTCTTTTAGTACGATAATTTTGTATCCGAGTAGAAAAGAACATTTGAAATCTCTTATCGGGACCCCAATGTTCGTTCTTATATAAAGTTCATCGATGGATAGTGAATCCACGATAGTTATCTATAAAATAAATTGAAAAAAAAAAAAAAGAAAAAAAAGACGTACAGTTGAAAGCAATATCTCCTACGATATTATACCAGTCTACTCTACTTACGATAATCCTAAACGAGTCTAGATTGTAAATATACCTGGCACGGTATATTAATAAAAGCGACACTCCCGTAAATACAAGGTATACCCGTGTGTTAGATCGTATTTATGTCCGCCATAGATGTTAATTAGCCTCTTAACGTACACGCGTATCTATGAACGTTATAACGTTAGTATATACAAGCTGTTAATGCGAAAAACGAATTAAACGAAATCATATTTATTTTTCTTTTTTTTTTCATTAGTAATTGATACTTATGGTGTATGTATCATAATATAATAAGTCCCGTTACTTTGAGAAAGATTTGCAGATTTTCTAAAAAAAAAATACAAATTTCTATGAATAAATTAATCAAAAACCCTTTGTTGTTGACCATATTATGATCTAAGTGTCGTAGGTAAGACAAAAAGACAAATTCCTCGGTGCTTGAAAGAGGTTTCTCTGGATACTTTTGGCGAACGGGTCGAAGGTTCGAACAAACACGACGAGTGCCAAAGCTTTTACGTTTAGATCGGGTTAAACGACATCGTTGACCAACAAGTTGGCAAACAAAATGGACAGCGTCAAAGGGTGCTCGCAACGTGTTGCGTTTACTTCAACCAACGACGACTACTAACTCGTCACGTAACGAACGAACGAACGAACGAACATACGTACGTACGACCGATGGCGAATGTTCCTCGGTATATAATTAATTGCTCGTCCGTTACGAACTCGTTACTTCGATTCGTGTTACGATATTACGGTGAACGTGCTTCACTCTGGTAATTAATCATTTCGCTAGCGCTACATTTGCAGATACTTTGCGAGTGAGTCTCTTTACAACATTTTTCCTTACGTATCCACATTTATACCACATATATATATATATACAAATAAAAATATTACAAATAGGAGGTAGGTATTGCCAACACATACCAGGTGTGCATCCTACGAAAACCGTGTAC